CTCTGACTTGGCACTGGGTATCTTGTTACAAGGAACTATTTCTCCGCATCAACATTGACAAATTTATAGCCTTTCTCAAATGTTTACGCAAATGGAAGCCATTTCTGGTTAGCTGGGGTCATACATTACGGTCGTGTAGTAATTTTAGAGGTCTGTAATGGGGAATCGATTTTTGGGTCAGGTCTGAATTAGAGGAAAATCACAGATTTAGGTCTGAAATAGGGTAGAGGTTTCAAGGCTCGGTTAGTACGCGAAGACTTTAAAAAGAGTGGATTACCTTGTGCAAATGAGAGCAAAATCAACAGAATCTTTGATAAGATAAGCAGGAAGCAACAATGGACTTATTAAGATGTAAGGGTAATCAAAGACCAGATATTTTTTTTATTCTTGCTCTTTATTCTTTCATCGCACGTTCTCCGCTATTCGCAACGCCCCGCTTTCCCCTTGGGTCCCCAGTGAGTTCTTTCCATGTAAAAATACGCAAAACAGAAGCTTTCTTTTTCATCAAAAATTGTGTGCAATTTATCCGCAAGCGCGCGACTCTCTACACCTGGGACTGGCACTGGCTACTCAAGAACTTATGTCACGTGAACAAGTCTTGCATTTCCCGCCAAAGACCAAATCCAACTGGCTATAGCTATAACTTTATTTAATTCTACAATTTAATTTCAAACTCTCTTCTTTCCCTACGAATCTGTCCAATTAACCTATTTACGTCTGAAATGAGCAAAGTTTTGGCCGATAAACGAACTYTTGAGTTGTTTCGTTGAGACTCTGYCTTGATAATGACTTAGACAACCTTGCTTTTTGATTACTTTTCCTGAACTAAGTTGTAACAGGCCATTCGCCGGTTATTTGGTTTTAATGAGGTTGAACGGATCGCGGCATCCGAGAACTGTAGAAAATAATAGTCGTATTTGAAAAATGCCAATTTGTGTTAATACTGTCCATGCGGGTTCACGTGAGCTCCACATAAACAAAGGAAATGCAAAGTTGTAACATAAGAAAACGTGTAAAAGGTGTTGTTTGTTAAAAATTCGTGGCGTATTTGTTTGTTGATTGGTCTCATCTTAGTTTGCATATTCACTATCGTTGATCTGAGGTGCTTGTTTGTCGTTCAAGATGTTTGTCGTCGGAGTAAGATGTGTACTTCCAAGTTCCTTCTAAAGAATTTGCTTCTACATGAGAAGCAAATTTTTTCTTTGGAAAAGAAATGGCGTCGACGTTTGGGGACGAGAAGTCGTTTGACACCCACTTCTGCCAATGGTTAGTATCAATTTCTTTGCATTCTACCTTCGCACGTAATATTTCAACCATGTGCACTCGCGGGACTCGGTTTACATTTCGTGTTGAACTTAGAACAACCACATGGCTTTACTAACAGAGTAGTTCAGTAACCGTGGGAGACGCTTAAGTTCTTAGCGATTTTTTCGACGAGAGTTTGGTTTTCTTCATGAAAGTGGCGCTTCTTTGTCAAACTTTGTGTTGTACTTGTCAACGCGCTCTCGTGTTTAACAATTCACAGTGAATTCTTTACTCCTCATTTACTCGTTTGTTCCACACTTGGCTTTGTTTCCTTACGCAATTTTTATCTATTTTATTGTTTTCAGGGAGAAAACGACTGAAGACAGGAAAATCAGTAAAACACAAGGAGATCAAAAGGATTCAAGCAGGGAGGATGAAGACAAAGTTAAGAATAGTATTGAGAATTTTGTTAAATTGAAATCTCTCCGATAAGAAATGGCAGTCTAGAAACTAGAGAAGATATAATCGATTTCAAAATCGTTTTGATTGCCAAAAGTTTTATTTTGTTTTATTTTTCCTCGGCTGAAATATTTGCGTTGGAGTGACGTTCGAGCGCAAAAAAAATAAAATAAATTGGGTAGTGACTGACATAACTCTGCCATTTTTGATGGAAAGGTTTCAACCACTTTTGAGTTTTTACTGTACATGTTTTCAAATTATGGGGAGTCTTATTTCTTTGTTCGAGCGATTACCAACGTAATTAAATTATATTTTATCGGTTCAGTATGTGCATGCCTTACTACGTATATTTTGTCAAAGTCGAGTATTTTTTGCTCTGTTTTGAAAATTCTAATTTGTTGTGCAATCGCTAACTCTCCTACATTTGAAAACATGTTACTAGGTGATAACCGTTGCAGAGTATTTTATTAAGGTGGCGCTGCATGTTAAAAATGAAGAACGGTGATAGTAACTATTGGTTACGTGATCATGTCAGTCATAGCAAATTCTGTTTTGATATAAATTGGACAAACAATTCGAACTGAACATTTTAAAATGCCTTGTTCTCCAAAATCGCATTAAGCACTAAGTTTTGCGAAGGCCTAGTTTCAATTTATGATGTGAATTGTCTGTTGGAGGGCTTTGCCCTTGCTCAAAAAACGATATTAAATGACTGGTGGTTGAAAATTGTTCCAGTTCAGCGATCAAACTTTGTGTTGCCGGAGAATTATTTCTACTTTTCAAATCTTAGCATTTTCAGATACGAACGAAATTAAAAAAGTGTCTCGATCCATTCTTCGATTTACTTGAATAGCCGTGACGTTTAGAATTTTTCCCTTTTTTCCTAAGAAAGGTCACGGAAATTAATTCATCTGATATGAATTGTGTATGTTAAAAGAGTAATTTCCTCGCTCAAAATGAATTGATGATCTGAAGATTCTGCTGCTTGGACTGAATTTATCTAGAAGTGTTCAGTACAACTATCAAACAATTTCTATCGTTTCTTTCTTCGTCATTTGAAATTATGAAACATTTCAAATTATTTCAGGAATCGTTAACGATTCGTTTGTAAACCTGAATATCTTCTCTTATTTTTGAATATTTTTAACGTTTGTTGACATAATCACGCTTTCTTCATAATTTATTTATTTATTTATTTATTTATTCTTTTTCGTTTTATGTACTTTTGCAAAAAGCACGAACATTTTTTGACGTTTAATGTGTATTGACAAAATGTGTATTGACATGCAGAGCCACCTTTGAAATGAATAATTCTAGAAGAGGATATTGGGTCTCTGCATTGATCTTCGTGTCCTGGACTGAAATACTACATTAATTTATTGGCATATACTCTTTTATACATTTCTTCACAGAAAACGTTCAGTTTATATTTTGTTTCTTCGGAAGGGGGAATAAGCGCAAAGATTTTAATCAGAAACCAAATATATCCTCTTGCTTAACTTTCAGCGAGGTTGTAATGAATTATGTCTGGTATCAAGCTACTCTTTCCAAAAACGTAGTTCTAATTGTCTGATTTTTTAAACTGTTTTGGCTTTCATTTGTACTATCGGATATATTTAGTTTGAATATAAATGTAGCTTCAATTCTGAATATTCTAAAATATTAAAGCTACTATTTGGACTGATAAACACTTTGACCGACAACATTTTTGAATAGACCTCTAGCTTTGTAGCAATTATTTGATTGTTTTAAAATGATATTGCTTTCGTCCGCAACTGACATACATTTTTATTAAAAGTATTCACTATTACATCTTTGATTTTCAACGCTTAGCTCCAATTCTTGAAAATGTTATCGCTATCGCCGGGTTGCATTCACTAACTGCATCTGTTACCACGAACGTAACTCTAGCAGTTCGTTTCTTCTAAAATTTTATCGCTACGTTTGCTACGGACAAACATGTACCAAATATTTGCTATCAATTCTATTGCTTTATCAAGGCTGTAGTTTCAATTGTCTGATTCTTCTAAAATGTTTGTGCTTTCATTCGCAAATGACAAAGTTTTAATACAAAAAATATTTAACAGCGGCCATATAGGATATGTAGTGATACATTTTGAAGCTTGATAACCAGACATTAACCTTTGACCCCCCGCTGGAAGTAATTTCTAGAAGACAACGAAGCAAGCCATGGACATTTGTTTTAAAATTGGCCTATAATTTGTCGGGTTTACTTTTTGATCTCGGCGAAAAGTGACGAAGTTCTGAAACTATTTAACCGCTAGGACTAGATTGAAGTTTTCGCGGGTTTTTTTTATTATTACTATGTCGTTGGAATAATCGGATTCATGGCTTGCCTTGCTATCTTCTTGAAGTATATTGCATGATGATATCACGTTAAATAGTTAAGCTGTGAATGACGGGCAGCTAGAAATCTATATACAGACATGAGACGAACCAGTTAAAATGTTTACAACTGCAACGTTTTCTGCACAACACTGAAAAGATGGTGACATTTTGGTGTCGCTATAGTTGAGAGTTTACTTAGTTGGGGTGCAAGTTAACCAGCTATATAAACATTCTTAAATATCTCTATTTAGAAATGAGTTTACCTTCTCAATGTTGTCTAGAACCGTTGCAGTTATAGATATTTTTAACTTGCTCTTCTCATTTTTGTGAAAAGGTTCTAGCTGCCGGTCGTTTTACGGCTGACTATTTGGCACGATATCATCACGGAATATACCATCTTGAACGCAAACAACTATTGAGTGGCTTCAAAATCTTAGTTTTTCTAAATAACTCAAATGATTGCAATCAAAATTTTTCGTTTGCTTTTGTTCAAGATGGTGTATGTTAAATTATTTTGGCGGGAAAAATTCAAAGGGATATCCCCTTAAAATTTTTGTCAAAAAAGTTGTCAGGGGAAACGCTGTGCAATTTTTTTCCAATTTTCCCGCCAAAAGTCTTAGTATATATAGGGCAAATTTTTTGATGACATCATTGTAATTAATTAATTTACTTAAAACTAATTAAGGAATACTTTGACTTATTGACTTGTAATTATTTAATGTCAATAAAAGAAACAAAAGAAGACAAAACAAGTGTTGTATTTGTTACTTTTATTAAGTGAATAAAATGTTACACTCTTGAACAAAAGTTGAGAGAAATAATATACAAGTAATAAAAATAACGGCGCATGCGTATTTTAGGCGCCTGTATTTTTCTAAGTTTTTTGGCGGGAAAATAAAAATTTTCAACTAGGATTGACTAAGAAAAGTAAAAAAAAAGTTGGCGCATGCGTATTCTAGGCGCCCATATTTTTTCTAAGTTTTTTGGCGGGAAAATTAAAAATTTTGACATGGGTTACCCTTAAAGTAAATTTAGGCCGCCAAGACAGTGTTTAGAAAACATTTAATAACAAGCAAGAGGAAAAATATTTGTACAAAATTTTGGTCTGCGAAGGAAAGCTAGCAAAACGTTGTGATTCTAAACACGAAGGCTAATTACAAAAATTTGCTTCTCAGGAAAATCAAAGCCAAAAAATTACAAAGCTCACGATGCGAGAAGCCGGTGAATCATGATAGAAACGTACGAGACTATTGAACAACAGTGGTGCTACGTTACACTAACGACCGTTGAGAATGTCGATATGTTCAGCACGGGAATTATTCAAATTCATGAAATGTTGCTGTATTTTGACTAGTTACTCAGAAAATAAAGAAAATAAAGATTCTCTAGGTAACCTGCTGCTTTGCTGCTTGACTAAACAAGCCAACAAAATATCAAATGGCACTTCACAATCTTTATAATTTTGCTAAATTAACAGTTGAATCTCCTGTTGTGAAGCTGGATATTGAAATTCCCGCACAAAGTCTTATTACAGTATTCTCAACGGCTCCTTGTGTAACGCAACGGCACTGATTTTCAAGAGTCACGTACGCGTCAGTCACACAATCCACCAAGCTCTCGCATCGTGAACACAGACGAAAGATTTAACCTGGATTAAACTGGGTTAAAATTTGTAAAGCAAAGCTGGCGGAAACATTTGCTACAAAACCTAACTGTAAATCATTTTTTCGGGCCAGTTCATTTTTTGATAGCCGTCGTTTTCCATTTAATTGTAAGGAAAACATCGCTAATCCTAACGATAATTCCACAAAAAAAACCTATCCTACACGTCCTACTTTTTGGTTTGAAAAAATCTCTCAATCAATCTTACTTTGGTCCCTTGCATACTTCTTGTAGGTCTGTCTTTAGTGTCCTAACACTCCACAGTGTATTTACTTTACCTTTGCCTTTATCTTTCATCAATTGTCTGGTCCCTGAGAAATCCTAAAAGAAAGAAAGCAAAAAAATGTTTGATATACATAACACTGAGCTTTGTTTTACATTTGCACTTTCTTTGCAACTGCGTGAAGCTCTCTACATCATATCCCATATACATCGGCTACTGAATTCCCGTATTGATGGTTTCCTTATTTATTCTCATCACCTGTTCGCTTGACGATGTAGTAATTTTGTAAGGTAAAATAGATCAGAAAACTTCGACATACATTTGTAGTAACTATTAAATTGACAACGATTTTGATGTACTTCCTGTTAATTTTTTTTGGAATAAAGTTGAATTTGGAGACTGGTTGGTAGACCATAGTACAGACTTCGAACCGAACAATGCAAACACTAAAACACCAGTGGTGAAATTAATAACAGCAATGTGACACTATTTGATTTAATAACTCTTTTTGCTGCCGTTGTTGTTGTTGTTGTTGTTGCTGTTATTGTTGTTGTTGTTGTTGTTGTTGTTGTTGTTGTTGTTGTTGCTGTTGTTGTTTAAGGTAATTCCATCGCAATGGAACTCACAATTGATTTTTTGTTCAAACTTTACCTCTTGGCTGCTTATATCAAGAGAACAAAAAATTTGAAACAACAAAGGGAGGTCCCGGTATTCGTTTAGGAGCATGACGGACCTTCAATAAACCCTTAATTCCCCAAATTATCTACTTTCGGAGACGTCTATACTTGAACTATTCACTTAACGCTTTGTGAGAGCAGAAAACCAGGGAGAAGCTTTAGCGACAAATTCAACAATGGATGAATTGCAGCAATGTTAAGGAGCAATTTGACGAACGTCTCATGATAAATACACCATTATTTAGTAAGCAGGGATTCAATATGTTCCAAGCACGCAGTGTTCTTGAGGGCACATATTATCTTTAACGAGTGCCAGCTATGCTCTCATTTTCAGTGGTATTTTTTCACCCTACAATATAAATTGTTCTATATTCACTGCGTAGAAAGAAGATGATCGCTGCATTCAAGCTAAATAAAAAAATTCGTTAGGTCCCGGTACTCGTTTCCGAGAACAAAAACGATGATTCGTCTCTCGCAAGCCAAGCCGTTTACAAAAAGCCACAATTTTGTATATGTTGTGTGCATCCACGCGCTCGTGAGCGCGCGCTAATGACGCGAAAATCGTGCGCAGTACAGGTGCGCAATGCAATTCTGAGGAATAACCTTTTGGTGGTATTATGATCAAATTTTTACTCCTTGAATTTTTAGGTTTGTCACATAGAATTCCACGAAAGATTCAAACCGCTGTTTACCGTTAACAAATATCTACGTTGGTTGTGAAAAATGTGCAAATGACAGGTCTGATGACATCATACACTCAACCAAATATTACACCAAGAATATAAATAGAGCTATCTTGGTCAATTTGCAGCAAAAACCATTGAAACTTGGCAGGCCAATAGTTTAACATGCAACACACCTATGCCTATAAAAAAAAGTTACACTCCCATGGTAACCCACTCTTTTCCAGTCCCCTCCAACCCGATTTCAATATTTTAGTGATTTTCAGCTCGAAAAACATTAAACAAGGCCACAAACCCGACCTAACATATTTATATGTTTGCTGGGTCATGCAGATGAGGCAACATTGCCAAATATCAAAATAAAACCCTAAAAGTGGCCAGAAAAGCCTTTAAAGTGCCCATAATGTCAAAACATTTTTTTCGCTCATTTAATTCTACATTTCACCTAATGAACTTCTGCGAAAAAATTTTTCGATTTGGATAAAATGCAATTTTTTAATAAGTTTTTAAAGACGTTCAAATTTGCCGCCATTTTGGTCCACCATTCGCACCAGTCTTCCTCGGTTTGAAGTGAGTCGTGACGTAGGTTCATGAACACGTGATTTGGGTCATGACTTATCTGACTTGAAAACAAGTGGAAATTTTGCTTCAGAGTTGTCTACATTTAGTTGAAAATGCCGGAAACGTGCGTTGCCGCTCTTTGTAACAACGTTAATGATCCAGAAAACAACATCAGTCTTCATCGCAGGTGCCTGAACCTACGTCACAGGCATTAGTCTCGTGGCCATTTTGAGCACGTTATTCTTGTGATCAGCAGCAGGGGTCGACCGCAAGAAAAAAGAATTTTGAACTTTGTAAAGATTCGTAAAAAAATTGCGTTTTATCCAAATCGAAAATTTTTTTCGCAGAACTTCATTAGGTGAAATGTAGAATTAGATGAACGAAAAAAACGTTTTGACATTATGGGCACTTTGATATTGGGGAGGTTTGGAACCCAGTATGTTGCCATCATGGTAACAAAACTGTTAAGCTTAGCGCAAAAAGGAAGAAAATCTATCAATTAGAAGATTGAGTCCTTTGCAAAATGCGCCATCGAATTCCTTTCTTTTTAGCTCTTCATTTATCTGTGCGGTGCCTCTTCCAGGGTTAAGTCCTACATAACAGACCCACTTCTACAAAATATGACTAAGGATCGTTTGCCTCCGTTGACTCACCTTCGATATTTTTAACTATGGTCCCCTGTGGACCATGCTGAATTACGTGCGCCAATTTTTCAAAATCAGAGTAGTTTTCCACATGCTTTATCTCTGAAACGAAGTCGGTGACCCCCAAATTTTTTTTTGCATTTCTGACACAAGTAACTCATCTGACTGCAGTAAAAATTTTAAAAAATCTATCAACTGGAACAAACGTCCTTAAACTCATATTGTGGAGCACCCCTTGCTGAACCTTACTGTAAAAAAATTCAAACATTTCTGATACAAATTGGCTGAGATATCTTTGCTCATCGTATTTGATCAAAATTTTATGACGCCATTGCTAATTTGCATATTTTAAAAACTTTGATTGGGCCAATCTTACCCTATTTATGCCTAATCACGTGCATTATTTCATCAGTTCACATTACATTGCGCAGTAGCTGAAAGCAAAATTCTCTTAACAAATACTTAAAAAACTTGATAGATAGAAAGTCTCAAGCACATGGAACAATGAAATATTATTATATAGCTTCTAGGACAATCGCACAATTTTAAATGAAAAAAACTCGGTTTTGGGCATGTTTTTAGTTATACTATACAGTTGGGATGCACAATGAAATTCTAAGGAATCACCTTAAAACTTGGAGTAATCTGTCAGTTGTCAGTAAGGATGTAGTGTCAGTCAAGATAAGATTTGTCAGTTAAAGTTTCAAGTCATCTGACAACGATATTGTTGACAGTGATGCAGAGATTAAAGCAGGGCTTGCCCGTCAGTTACTTTCAAGCCATCTGTCAGGTCCCAGGAGGATGGAGCAAATGAGATATGAATGGTAACATAATATTTCAATCCATCTGTCAGCGGTCAATATGGATCAGAGTCAAAAAATAATTTGGAACTATCTGTCAGTTGTCAGTAAGGATGTCGAGGTCAAAAAATAACTTGTCAGTTAAATTTGCAATCATCTGTCAGTTGTCAGTATTACTGTTGAGATTAAAATTGTCTAGTCATATAAAATTTGTAATCATCTGTCAGTTGTGAATAAGGATGTCAAGATCAAAGCATAATTTCTTGAAAAAAATTGGAAATCATCTGTCAGTTTTCAGTATAGCTATTAGGATTGAAGCATGTTCTGTCAGTTAAAATTTGGAATCATCTGTCAGTCATCAGTAACAACGTTGAGATCAAAACATGATTTTGCCAGTTAAAATTTGGAGCCAACTGTCTTTATCAAGCAGACAAGTGTTGAGAATAATGCAAATCAACAACTACGAAATATTGCACAGTAAGCAAATTGTCAAAAACTCACACCCACAAAATATCACAATAAGTGGGGAGGAATCATAATTATTTTGGGCCTAGGCACTTCAAGACCTGTTCAGTTTATGAAGGTCAGCATTTTTGAATATCAAGAGAAACTAGAAATTGTTAAATATTTACTAGGTCTACACATTAATTGCTTGTAGTAAGATGAAGAAGCACCACTTTCAGTTGGCAAATCCTTACAAAAAACAAACTTCAAGCTCTTTTTGTCCAATCAAAAACTGGCAGGATGTTCCCAAATAATCTTGACACCAACAAGTGTCAGTCAGCCAAATTTTTCAAGACTGAATTCAATCCAATAAATGGTAAGCTGTACCTGTTCTTCAAAGTGATTAAATTATAGTGATACACTAGTCCACTGAGTACAGATAAAGAGAAACTTTGGCTGACCTGCCTGCTGTATTTAACTTCCTTCACTGATCTTTCAGTGTCTATGTGCTTCTTGTTTGCCCTAATATGAGACACAAATTAACCTATTGTTGAGCTACTTACAATTTATTACTGTTGGCATACTTTAGCATTGGAACTTTCATTGATGGAATAACAACTAAAACGAGTAGTAATATATACAAGTGTAGGTACACTTGCAAACACCATTACAGATACCAGAAATGTAAACTGACCTGATCTAGCTGTATCTGACCCCTCCATTGATCTCAGTTGTCCTGTGGGATTGCTTGCTTCTTGTTTGCCTGATATTAAGTGAACATAATTCAATGAAAGACCTATCAGTTGTTGTTTACTTCTGAGTAGAAATTAGTACATGCAACATTCAAAATAGCAGAAAATGATGTATTAAGAAAAGCATGATCAATTGAACAGCAGCTTTTACATTTTTCCAGCAACCCATAACACTTTGCATTCTTGAGGTAAATAAGCTCATCATTCAACCTTCTCAAAACGTCAAGATAATCTAGTGGTCTATTGAATTGAAAGAGACCATAACCACTGTATTTAGTCAAGTCACTTTTCCAAGCTTTTGCTGATCCATGGCATCATTGACTTGACCTGACTAAATACAGTAGTTCAACACCCCACTCCAAAGAACACTAGATTATCCCATATGCTACAGAAGGACAACATTCNTTATGCTTATGCTTATGTCAAAGCGTGAACCAGCCCTTACCCCTGATCTGCAGTCTGAAGTCCGCAGTCCGCAATCCGCAGTCCATTATTTCATTTTCCACTTACCGACCTCGAAACATTTCGGGCTAAGATTTAATTTTGCCGAGGTTTTAATTCACGAGACATAAATGACTCAAGGCAAGTAAAAGTCTTTTCAACCATCTACGTAATCAAAAGTAGCAATAATGCATAAAGGTTCCATTACATGTACATACCGAGAATGGTCAAAGTCGACACTCCACATCTTAATTTCTGGCTCTTGAATAAGCAAGCCAATTTTCCTTGCAGTTTTTCCACTAGCAAACGTTTCTGTCTGGGACACGTTTGGGGACATTTCTTGTACTGTAGACACGGCATTAGGTAATGATTTGGAGGAGGAAGCGTAGTTTCCAAGCACCTCGTGCAGAAGATGGAGCGAAAAATTATTTGCAATGCAAATTCAATTTGAGTCCCAGTGCCACCTGTCTTTCTTAGCCGGTGGGGTCTTGGCGTAAGGAAAGTGAGGCTCTAAAAGCGTGCTTAGAGACATTCTTCCAGTTTGGATAAAGATTTCAGTAACTAAATGAACACAAGACAATTTTTGAAATTTTAGCCTAAGTGATTCAAAATCGGCGTATTTTTTCAAACGAAAATAAAATATGATCAGAGTGTTTTTCGAGATATTTAGAAAAATGTTCGTGATATGTAGGATTTTTATGAAAATAGAATTTCGGGAAAGATATTTAGGCCATTTCACGTCAGATGATACCTTTACTGCGGGAGTGAGGGAGTTTAAGTAACCACGTCGATTAAAATATGAATTTCTATTTAACTTACGAATCTCGCGGTACTCTAAAGTCATTCACTTTGTCATGATCGCTATCAAAACTATCACAGTAATAGAACTGGAACGCAGGGATAGATTGAAATAGAAATTTAAAAAATTGTCCGTCTTGGTTCACGTTCTCCGAATAACGCAGAATTTGGTCATTTCACGTTAAACTCACGTCGTGTTGTTTTGCAGAGGACGGTATTAAAGAAACGTATCAAGAATTATAGCGCACATGCAAAGCCGTCGTCGTGCTCGTTAAATCTACTCTCTAATTAGGCTCTATTTCCGCCACTTTCTCGAGTCCGGTCTACGTT